AAAAAAAAAAAAAAAAAAAAAAAAAAAAAGAAATCTGCAAAAAATGTGAATAACTGAATATGTGTGTGTGTGTGTGTATATTGAGTGTATAATCGGTGTATATATGTATGCGTGCAACGACCGGTTTCGCCGGACGAGATCACGCGAGCTCTGGTGATCCGGTTCGTGCGTTAGGTTATAGCTTTCGAAAATCGTGTTTCTGAAGAAAAAACTTACAACAATGAAAATTTCAAATGCAATGTGGGGACTGACTGCACTACAGTTCTTATAGTAATTTTTAGAATATAGGAAGTAGATGAGAGAGTAGAAGTTAGACCATAGAATTGAAGTTTAGCGATGTGTAACGGAGACGAGAGAGTAAAAGTTTAAAACAATAACCGATCGAAGGTTCGGCAAATGGGAATCGAGATGAATACTATGAAATTTTATGACGTTTATTCGAGAGACTCGTCGAGCATTTGAGCTTACAGACTATTAGCTCGAGTTCGAATCAAGTTTGAATCCGAAATGCTCGAACCTAACTCGAGCACGATCAAACTCAGAGTCAAACGTTGACTCAAGTTCTGGTGAGATTTTCCTATTTCATTTTATACCAAGTCAATAATCCATTCAAAAGTTGGTCAATGTCACATTTTAAACAATCTATCTATATATAAAAAGGTTGTTGGAATAAACCTTTTTTAGAAACTTTTGACCAAAAAATAACAAGTTTTACTTTCTATCTTTAGAATTCTTGAAAGCTTATTTTAATAAGACACGAGATTAAAAGTAAGTTGAATTCAAATTTTGAAAGATAATTCACGCCTAAATTTCGGTAGATACCAACAACATAAAGCCTTTAAAACAACTATTTTTCTCATTCACTTTCACGCCTCAATCCCTCAATTAAAATTCTGTCCATAACAAAATACAGCCTTTAAATTATCTTTTTTTTATTCACATGCTTCAATATCTGTTAGAATATAACAAAAACATGAATAGAACACATCAAATTTATAATGCCGCCTGGGATACACTCGAATCCGTGAATAGAACAAATAAATCTTTCTTGCGCTTGGGAGCAGTCCGAATAGTTGAATCGCATCACCAACGGGAAAGCTGGAACGAATTCCATATACTGTTTCATGATGAGAAGGTAAAATTTTCATTCCAAATATCAAATTCATATAATTTTAATTTTTTTTTTTACATATTTATAAATTTATATAATTTTAAGAAATATTTTATTTCATGTTTATACATTTATATTGTAGGGTTCATTTATTAGAGGCGTAATCCGTTCTAAACATATGGGAGCGTTTCGAAGTTTACTGAAGGAAGGCGAGGTGTACGCAATCAACAACAATGTCATTGAATTTAATCATGGGAAGAAAGATATCATAACTAACATATGGAGACTTGTGCTTAATGGAAGAACGCGTGTTATCAAGTATGACGGGATCTTTCCTTAAAATGGTGATATTTTCCATCAACAATAACAAGAAGCAGTATTTAAGATATTTAGAGTTTGATTTTTATAAATTTTATTTTCAATCTATGTCGCTCAATCAAGAATTTTATTAGAAGCATGTGTGTTATTATATTTGTTATCCTTATAAAATGAGTTGAATTTAATTATTTTCATTATTCAATGTCACAAAAATGTGAAAAATCGACCTTTTAATTTCATACTCCTAATGTATAGTAGTTGAAAATTTGTAAAACATTATTATATAAGATATAAATTAATACAAATTTTAACAAATATTTTAAATATGATATCTATATCTATGTAAATAAAAATAAATATTTTACGAAATTATTAATAAATGAAGCAAGTACATTTAATGATTTATATTCCGTTAAAATCATCAAACATGCATTTTTGATAAATTTTGATTAAATTAATATTTATATTATAATAATTTGTAAATTAATCAAAAATCGTGGATATGTCAAGAATTAAAATCGAACTTGGTAGTTCTTCAATGATGAAAGATCACAAACTGAATTTATAATTAATTAATTAGAGAGATAATTAGAATATGTTGATAAGTTACCTTAAAGAAATAATGCAAAATAATTAATTAGTGAGATAATTAGAATATGAGGATAAGTCACATTTAAGCAGTGTTTTGTGACTCGGACCGGCCCGGCGGGTCGACCCGGGACCCGGTCGACACGGAGCCAGAACCGGTCCGGGTGGGTTAATTAGACCGGGCAACAACGGACTCGGTCAAACCCGGTCAAAAACCGGTCGACCCGACCTTGACCCTGTCGACCCGGGACATTGACCCGGCTGGGTCAACCCGGTTGACCCGGTCTGTATGTATTTTTTTATTTTTTTTTTGTTTTTTAATTTTCTTTTTCTTTTTAAAAAATAAAATTATGTATATATATTTATATGATAAATATATACATATTATTACCACTTTAATCTACAAATTTTACATACAAAATATTTAAATTTGTTATTTTTATGTATATTTATATATCACAAAATACTCTATATATAATTTTATAAATTTTAAAATTAATTATCCGGTTCAGCAATTGACCCGGTGACCCGGCGGTTGAACCGGTGACCCGGTGACCCGAAGACCTGCCCGGGTCGATTACCGGGCCGGGTTTAAAAACTATGCATTTAAAAGATAATGCACATTTTTAATTAATGGTAATCCTATTTGAAAAAAAAAATTAACAAATTAGAGAGATAATGCAAGCCTCAATCTCTCCACCAATAAATTTATGTAAATATTGGACCGAAAATAATTAATTAATTATGAAATTCTGAATATATAATTAATGGTGTAGAGATAATGTTGGAACACTAAATTGCACTTATCTAAATTGCACATAATCTAATGGTTACCAACGAAATATTTCCACTACTTAACTAAATTGTACTTATCTTATCAACCTACAAGAGTTTGAATTTATTAAAACTCATTTAAAATAAATCTAATGGTTATCAACTACTCATTCTTTAATTTGCACGTGGTAGTTAATTCCTGTATTAGTTTGAATTCACGGGTTAGCTCTTTATCAATGTGATTCTTAATTATGAAATTAATATTTAATAGTTTAAAGATAATAATTAATTAATTTTGTAGAGCTAATATAGGAACAATAAGTGGATAAGTGATGATTTAAAATTCAACGACATTGTACCTTATCAATGCAAAATCACAAACTGAATTGTAATTAACATTGTGGAGATAATATAGGAAAAATAAGATAGTGTCAGCTTTAAAATAGCACGTGGTTTGTTAAATCGCATGGTGTGATTTAGCTGAGATATATTGACAACGAAATGGCGTATCTTCTCAACTAAATTGCACTTATCATCATACAGAGTCTCCATTTATTAAAACTCATATTTTAAATTATTCTAATGGTTATCAACTTATTATCCCCATGCCTATATAATGATATAATGATAGTACATCACGTATCAGAAAAAAAAAACTTACTACCGTTTGTACGTAAAGAAGTGAAGCAGAAAAAATTTCAAAAGCATGGGAAAACATCAAGCAAGTAACAAGGACCAACATGTCAATGATCAAGCTAAGAGTTGTTCGTGTCTTTCAAAGGACTAATGAATACTCATCCTACAAGAACATCCTTGAATTTGTCTTTCATGACATTGAGGTATATTTTATAAGATATATTCATGATTGAACATTTCTTATCAAAATATACAACAATTTACAATATTATGTTGTTTTTTTTAAAGGTGGCCGAATTACTGCAATAATAAGAGCAATGAACATCCCTACTTTCATCAGTGAATTTGAAGAAGGGGTTGTCTATGCACTTCGAAACTATCAAGTCGAGAGTAACATTGGAATGTACAGATCCACAATTGCCAAATACAGGCTTATCCTACATGGTAGAACTGAACACATAAGCTATAAAGGCGAATTTCCAATTTTCCGTTTCGACTTTCGAAGGTTCATCACATTAATTGATGTCAAGAAGATCGACGAATCAAATCTATTTGGTAATCGCATTTTCAATTATTTATATTTTATTTATTAGAATTAGAATTTTTTTGATTAATAATAATTTTACTCTAATTTATCACATTTAGATGTCATTGGGTTTGTCGAGATAAATCCCGTGCAATTGAAGAACGTCAAAGGCGTACAAACTCGCATGATAGCATTCTCCCTAATGGATCTCGAATAATCTTTTATCTTACACCTACTTATTATTATTCATGTATAGTATTGTAATTTAAATATTATTACAACATATATTATATTACATATTTTATTTAATTTAAAAATTAGGGGAAACATTATGTCATGCACTCCATGGGGGCCATATGTTGACCAATTCCTGAATTTTGAGAATCAACTTGCACACGGTAATCCATGGCCTTTGATAATTCAATTAGGGCGTTCACGAGCATGGGCAGGTAAATAAAATATAATGTGTTTAATTTATATATTAATTTATCCAAATGTGTTTAAATTACATTATTTCTTCATAAATAGAAAAAGTGCAAGTAACCTCATCAAAGGATATAACGAGACTAATTGTTGGCGAAAACGTTCTAGATATTGTGGACTTTCGCAATAGGTAAACTTATTTGAATTATTATAATATTCAATATTCAATTGTTACATAATGAATAGTGGTTGATTAAAAAATTATATGTTTAATTAATCAAACCAATAATGTTTTATATAGAAAAGTGTTCAATAATATATGATTTTTCAGTTTAATTATATGTTTATATGTCTATTCTTATGATCATGATCATTTTGTTATTACACAATTTATATACAAACAATAATTAAAAAAAGCTCACAAGTCATAATATTCCCGTGTATCGCACAGGTGATTACTAGTTCTTTCTAAAAGTAAGTTGGTCAATGTCACATTTTAAACAATTCATTCTAAAAGTAAGTGTATGGAAAACGAAAATTGAGCCCTAGAGATATTTCATTACTTCACTTGCTTTCAAGATTTCATTTGGAGTAACGTTACTACAACTCTCTCATTATACAAACGAAAACAAATATTTCACGTGCAAAAGGTTAAAAACAAAATATATATGTTGACAAAAATAATTTTATCTATATTTGGAAGTGAAATAAGATGAAAAGTAATGGATAACTAACGTATTTTTTTAATTAGTGTGTGAAATAATAAATTGGTAAGGTATTTTCAATTTCGCCATAAATGTTTTTCTAAACATCGTTTTGAAGGTAGTGTCCACAAATCTATCGTTTTGAAAAGAAAAAAAAAAAAAAAGTAGTGTCCACAAGAAGTGAACTACCGTTGGATTAATTTAAATCACATGCACAATCATGCATATGCATGTTAATCGATCGAACACTAATAATAGGGGCAATGAGTCGAGCCATACGGAGTTGCAGTCTTTAACGAGCTATAATCAAATTTGAATTCGAGTTCAGTTCGTTTATCAATATTAAAATATTGAGTTTGAGCCAAATTCTAAAATTAATAAGTTGAACTATTGAAAATTCTATAAAATTCATCTTCCGAGTATTCACGATCGAATTAAAGTGAGTCCACCTCATTAACTAATCAAAGTTTAAACTGAGTTAGAGGTCACAATTAACTTTTGATTTAAGAGAAGTAGATACTTATATAATTAGATAAATTTTAAATTCTAATAAATACAAAATCCCCCCTATATATTAATACAGAATGCGCTGAGCCTACGTGGCTGCTTGTGGTGCTTTAAAATCCTATGTGGCAAAATTACATGCTTCGTTATTAGGCTTTGGTAAATTTTAATTTAATTCCAAACCAAAAATAATTAGGTTCGGATTATTATAAATATGTTGATTATTTATGGTCATGTTACATGTATTAATTGTATTTTAATATCATTCCTTATTATAACTATTGAATTGTATATATATTTTAAAAGTTAATAACTTTTTTTTTGTATTTTTTATCAGTTTTACATATGTAATATATCAAATTAATCTTCTTTTGATGAGCTTCGATTTAACATCCATATTGTATGTATAAAAAAATAATTTATATTTATCTTTATAACAATAATAAAACTATTTTTAATATTAATTAGAAAAATAAAATTATTTATCAACTAATATATTTATATTTCAAGTAGTTATATGATATAATATGATATAAGTTATAAAAACAAATATAATATAACACATGTAAGTCATAAGTAACACATATCATTCTAAAATATATAGTAATATAATTTTTTTGTAAAAAAGTAAACTAAATTTAATATAATTTTCTCATTAATTTTAAAATTTAAGAATAATTTTTTAACAAGTACCGTATAATACACGGATGTTGTACTAGTATGAATTAATTCAATAAACTAACAATAAAAAGATAAATAAAATTTAAAAAAAAAAAAGCACACACGTGATATAAAAGCGACCTGAGCGCCCTCTTTTTTGAAAAACCTCCTCCGCCTCGCGCCGCCCGCCGTCCTCCCTCTCCCCCATAACTCCGATCTGTTCGCTGACCCTCTGAAACCCTCATCTCCGGTGAGTCCCTCTGTTTCCCTGCAATTCCGACTACATCCGTCCAATTCGCTGCACTTGCCGCCGCCTTTTAGTTGCATTCGAATTAAAATGATTTTATGCGTTCCTTTTTCCCGGCACTGTTATTGGTTTTGTGTTGAATTCTGAGATCCGTCTAGGGTTTTTGGGCTTTTGTCTCTGTTTTTGTGTTTGTCGATTTTGTACTTGTCTCGAGCGAGGTAAATTTTCAGCCTTTGGGGTTGATGTGAGGAAATGTGCCTTTTCAATTAGTGTTGTTATTTAATCTCATGTCCCTCCCTTGCGTTTCCTTTTCATTTTTGGAGTCAAATTTGGGGTCGAAGCTTAAATGCAGTAATTTGTTCAGAGTAATAGCTCACAAACTAGCAAATTGAAGTATTTATACTTAATTTTTTTTGGATCGTTCTGTGTGTTAGTTTGTTGAATTGGTATAAGCTGCCTATATCGCCCTGCTCCGGAAAATCTTGAAGTTTTCAGTGGAAATTTGTATGCATCCAATCACTACTCTTTTGTTTCTTGTTTATTATCAGTCACTGTAAGTTCTCTGTGGAAGAACTCTTACCGCAAGAAACACCATAACTCGATTTCCCTTCTTAGCCATCCCTGAGTTCGAACGTCCCTTGCGAGCCCACCTCGACCAACTCCCTTTATGATCAACACACAACACAGCAAGAATGGTCCGGCAGCCAGCGGAAGCACGGCCCCACCTGCTCACAACAAGCAGCCATCGATGGCTCCCAAAAAGACCGCCCTTAGGGATTTACAGAATGAAAATGAGCGAACAATCCACAAGCAGCAAGACAGCCTACTTCTTGGGAAACAGAATGGAGACTCTATCAAGGTCTGTGGGACCAAACGCCTCACGCCCGAGCGCCCCCACGGCCTCAACATTAGTGGGGCCAACGAGAATGTGATGAATGCGCGCAGGAGGTTCGAGCTGGAACTCGGTCGAGGGAGGCTCCAGAACAACATCGAGAGGTTTTCGGAGTTGAAGAATATTGGTAATGCTAATCGTGCTCCCGTGAACGTGTCCGGTAATCTGAAGCCGGCTGTAGCTTTCCCAGGCAATGGTCTTCCGGTTCCCATTTCTTCTGTTAAGAACAGTAATGTTAATGGGATGGCTGCTGCTAAGGCAGCGCCTTCAGAGGCTGCCCGAGCGATTGAGCCGAAGGTGATGGGTGAGCAAGTGAGGGC